GTGGGGGTGCGGGGAAGGGGTGTAGGGTGCGGAGAAGGGAGTGCGGGGAAGGGGGCTGTGGGGTGTGGGGGTGCGGAAAAGGGAGGGTGTGGGGTGCGGGGAAGGGGTCTAAATTTAAAATTTTTATTTTTTTAAGGGTAATTTAGACATTTTATATATTTTTTTTTAAAAAGGAGGTGTATTTATATGAGAGTGGAGGTGGGTGCGGGGAAGGGGTGTAGGGTGTGGGGGTGCGGGGAAGGGGTCTAAATTTAAAATTTTTATTTTTTTAAGGGTAATTTAGACATTTTATATATTTTTTTTTAAAAAGGAGGTGTATTTATATGAGAGTGGAGGTGTGTTTATCATCTGCCTAAAATGAATAGGAACGTATCTTACAAGGCCCTCATGCTTTCTGGTTCAATCTTGGAAGCCCAAAGCTAACGACCCAAATCTAATAATAGGCCACCTAACCTAATTGACCAGGTCAATCCAAACTCAGAAACACATTAGGACAATTAGTTAAGGATAAAATTAACTCAGCTTAATTAGTATCACTTCAAACAAGTCTAACTTGTTTTCTACATATAAGGTTTAGATAACTTATTTAAGCATAATCTTAACTCACTTTATTTTTTTTTTAATGTTTGACTTTATTAGAAGCTTAATAAATAAAAGGGTTTTGTTAAAAATAAAAGGTTATTCAACCATGATAGGATCTAGTGGATATATAAGACTTGAAAAAATTAAGGACAGGTAAAAAAACACAAGTAGGAATGGAATTGAATTTTTGTCTTTCTAATATATATTTAGAAGGTAGGTGAATAAAACAATTTTTCTAAAAACTTTGAATATATGTACATGTGTGTGTACGCTTGGGTTATTTATTTATTTTATTTTAATATCTCTTTTATAATGCTAGGGAAGAGGGGGAATAAGAGAGCATGAAAAAACACAACATTTTATACCCTATAAATTTAGGTTTAAGTCCGGTCCATTGAGCAACAACATAGGATTTTCACTATTCGATTCCTTTTTGTCAAATATTTTTGTATAAGTCTTTAATTTAAAACTCTTAAAATTCAAAGCCTCTTTAGCTTTTATACTCCCAGAAAATTAACATCAAAGAAATTAATGTTATCTCAAATATTCATAATAAGTACTTAATCGATGTATATAATTGTTTCTGTGAGTGTTTTAAAGAATGAAAAAATAATGATAAAGTTCAAGTACCTTCTAATTAATATTCCTGTATTTATATCACCTGACATTCTTTTAATCATTGTAGATGATGCTTGAAGTTCTTATATTATAGTTGAAGCCATGTGTTTAATCCAAAAAAAATGTTCCTTAAGAAATTACTTTCGTTATTATATTATAAAAAATAAATGAAAATCATTTTAATTTTAATTATAAAAAACATAAGTCTACTGTTAAATCTATTAATTGGTTTTATTATTATACTATTAATTTATTACAAGGCTATTAATGAGTTATCCAATCATTTTTCATAAAAGTAATGTATTGGAATACTAACACTACAAATCATACTAATTAGTTGAAAAAATATTTTTAATTTATGATTTGTGTCATTAAATATAGTTATTACTTACATCATTTAATTTTGTAGGTGCTTTTGGAATAAGATTTTATATTTTGGCATTACTAATTAAAACTAACATAATTATTTTAATCGGTATTTTTGTGTATAGTATTTTGAAAAACTAAATTTACAATATGCTCTTCTACTTTGTAACTTTAGCAGGTTAACTTTCTGTTTCGGTACATCTTATTACATCTCCCATTTTAGATGAAGGCATAGTCTTCAAGAGTTTTTTTCTTCCTAGCTTATTCATTGATTATTAAGACATATATGCATTTTGCCTTATGATTGGTAAAAAAAAAAATGCTTTGTGATTCGGACACTTCAATTTAAGATATACTTGATTTCGACATTATTTTAGGCATTTCTTATCAAGCTCTTATTTTTTGCAAAGCTAAATATAAAAGGCTACACACTTTTTTGAGTGAAAAATTCATCCAAAATGGAAAAAGCTTATTATTTTGTTGTATAAGTTTTGAAATATCAACCATTTGCCTAACAGTACGTATCATCAAAAGAAATCACTTTTGATTTGTTAAGAATAAAAGCTTTCCACTTCTTATTCCGCTTGAGCATATGTCATAAGAAAATAAGAACTATAGCATACATCTTTGAAGAGAAAAAGTGTAACTTAGAGAAAGAATGAGCATGTCTTATCCTAAAGTGTACGTGCATATCATATAATGCCAGGAACATCCTTGCACTACTGCATCTCTCATGAATCATAACCACCCCTTTATCTTCTATGTAGAGAACACCAAATACTTTAGTTCACAGGGAACCAAGTCCTTGCAAGGCACAAACACCCTTATATTAAAACTCAATCTTCTCCTTCTTCTCTATTCCTTTGGACAGCTCCAAAATTCTTTACTAATAAGTCTACCACAATGGGCACCAAGTCCTTGCAAGGCACACCCTTCTTATACACTTCAGCTAAATGTGAATCACTTCCGATTCTCCCTCCAAGGAAAATATCCACACCTTCAGTGGCCTTACCATTCTCATCCCTAGTCATGCACCCCATGAAGCCAATATCAGCAACTTGCACCTGCCCACAAGTGTTGGGGCAGCCAGTCCAATGCATCCTCACAGGCCTAGTCACTGCCACTTGCCTCTCCACTTCCTCAGTCACTTTCAATGCCCTTGCTTTTGTCTCAATTATGGCTTGTCCACAAAACTGGTTGCCAGTGCATGCCACAAGTGTTTTCATCAGAAGGGAAGGTTCAGGGGAAAACCTCTTCAAGAGAGGCTCCTTGAGAAGGGTCTCAAGTTTTGAGTTTTCCACATTGGGAATCACTATGTTTTGCTCCACTGTGAGCCTGAGTTCACCACTGCCATACTCATCTGCCAAACGGGCCAGCTCATCCATCTCATCTGCTTGGACTCTACCAACTGGAATGTGAATCCCTACATAGCTTAAGCCCTCCTGTTTCTGTGGATGAACACCTAAGTAGTCCCTTCTTTCCCATGTTTTCTTAACCAGATCTTCCTGGGAGGCTCTCTCTAGATGCTTCCCTGGCATTCTTTTTTCCACCTCTGACCTGAATACTTCTATCCCCTGCATCATTTGCCAAACATTTGTCACTTGTCATGAAGATACATTTATTGACAAAGGAAATAGATGATCATCATTGCAAGATAAGAGTCTATTTACATACAAGTTAGAAATGTTTTTTTAAAGTTTCTATGTGGGAAAAAGCTTTGTTTGGATAAAAGTTAAAAGGGTTTTTGAAAGTTTCTCAATTGAAAACAAAAAATTCCTTATTTATCGTAAAGAAGCTCTCAAAAACTCTTTTAAACTTGTATTCAAACAGATTTTAAGTGGATAACCAAACATTTTAAACATTCCAACACTTAGACCCGGGGATATTTTGAAAATTGCATGTCTTTGTTCAGATCGATTATGACTCATCTTAAGAACGGATTAAATGATAATTAAATCATACTTGATTGTAGTGTGCACAAAGAGTATCTCCAAAATAGATCAGCCCCTTAAATCATTCTTTCCTTATAATGTGGTCAGTAATTCAATTTCTAAGTCTAAGTCTAAGTTTGTGCATTCAAGAACATCAAATTATCAATTGATATAGATCAATTCTTTTTCTGTATCTCATTACCTCAAATATTAGTTCTTGACTTTTAGCTATAAGGCTACTCCGAGTTAAAAGAAGAAAATATTAGCAAACTAATGTCATTTAGAGACAAAAAGATCACCAAAGTCAAACGATTGACTTTTTAATCATTGCCCTAAGGATAATAGTTAACAAAACTGTTTTAAATATTAAGATTGATTGTAATTTATAAAAGAAAGGATTATGTCATAACTAACACTTTATGTACATGTATGATTTGACACTAGGCAAAAGTGGCAAAATCAAATAAAATAATGACTTACCAGTTCATCAATCAACCACATCATTCTCGTTTTCTGTCTGTTCCCTCTGAAGCCAAGGTCCCTATAGGCCTCAAGGACAGCTTTACAAAGTGGGATAACATCATCTGCGGAGACCCAAGCATCAAGTGGAATTGCTTCAGCACATCGCTTGGCACTAAAGAAACCACCAACCAGCAAGTTAAACCCAAAACGACCATCTTTATTAGCAGGCATGTAAGCCAGATCATTAATGTGAGGATGCTCAAACAGATCATGGGATCCCACCACGCACACATTCCACTTCCTAGGCCTGCACAATTCCAAAAATTCAATATAAGGATTAAGGACCCCATAACAATGCTTTAGATCATAAAATCCTAATGCTTCAGAACATGGTCCACAATATCCCAAAGCTATAACTAAGACTAATTTATATTCCTGGAAAGTAGTTTCTGTTGACTAAACATTATTTTAATACTGTGATAATTGTTCTTGGAAGTACCAGGTCAACCTCATGTCACAGAAAAAACTTCATAACCACTAGAGTAAGAAACTTGGTTAATTCACAACAACTATGATCCACCTTATATATGTGTGTACTTACAAGTTTGACATGGCTGGGTTGCCACGTGAATTGGCAGTGATGAATTGAGATAACAAGTTGGAGTAAGGTCGGGTATCAACAATCTCATCAGGGTCAATGCCTGCAAGAGGGTTACCCACAGGGTTTCTCACATTGTCCATGCCACTTTGCAGACTCGTCAAGCCAAACTCTTCGAGGCCCTTGAGAATTTCTGGCACATCAGGTAGCACCACACCACGAATTTGCCAATTCTGCCTCGTTGTTACATCAGCACACCCATCTTTCCCGTACTTCCTTATCACACTCGCCAAGTACCGTGTTTGGGCACTTGTTGTCACCCCATTTGGAAGTTTCAGCCTCATCATAAATCTACCATCTGGTTTAGGCAATGAAAAGAAATGAACCCAAGTGTATTAATCAAATAGAAAAGCTATTTACAACAAAATGCGAAGTTTTATTCTTGAGTAAATGAACAAGTATATCATTTTAATGTCAACTATTAATGTGTCCTTTAGGCTTTAACATGAAACTTACTGACATGAAACTCCAATTTTTATTAGAAAATAACACAAAAATGGCACTTATAATCAAGTTTTAAAAAATGGTGGGTGACCACAATTTCGGCTTAAATATCAAGGTTTTTGGACTCATTGCAACTACATCATAACCACAAGTGTGGTCGAATCAACCACTTGCATCACAACCACAATTGTGTTTGTATCAGTCATATTTGTCAGCAATGTCAAAAATTGTGATGAAACCATCATTACAACTGCAATTTAAAAACCTTCCTTATAACAGTACTCCACCTATATTTTGTGTTTCATCATCGCTTAAAAGACAATTAATTTAAGATATCAACAACTAGTGCTATTGCCATGGTTTGAGACTCAAACATGTACCAATCAACTCTTTTTTCCTTTCACTTATCTTTGCATATTGTGGACCAAAAGAAACATGAAAAAGTGAAACTTACAATGATGCTTTCTCCTATGAAAAAGGCCAAGCCACTTGAGCCTGACATCAATATCATCCTTGGTGTGCTTGGAGCTCTCAATTTCCTCAAGGGACATCTTAGCCAACTCCTCAATCCCACCCTCCATGAAAAGCTTCATGGGGTCTTTCTCGATCTTCACCTTCTCCTGAGGGTTGATGCCTCCCCTGTGCTCCTCCTTCAGCACCCAAAACCCATCTCTTTCCTCCACTCTAGGCTCCAACCTCGACGCCTCCACCTCCGAGGCAACCGGAACCACCGTTGGCGTGGCACAGAGCCATGTCTTGGGCCGAGAGTTGAAGCAGCTTGGAGGGGCCAGAAAACGAACAGAGAATGAAGACATTGGAAGAAGCGTGTGTTGAGAATGTATTTGAGGTTGTGGTAATGGCGGTGTGGGCTAAGAGTGGACATTTTTGTAGGATGAGAGGACCAAAGTGAACGAGGACCTTACAAGTAAGCAAGAGGTGATCTTCCTCGGATTGAAAGACCCTTCGGTGTTGCCAAGGGTCAACTTCGTGATCAAAAACACTTCTAACTAAAATTCCCTCTCAAAATTGCATGCTATATCCATTCTCACATGTCTCTATACTTTTTACACTAAATATTGGTTAGTATATTTTCTGATTTCTAATGAATCACTCAATAACATATAATGAAGTTTTATTAACTTTTAATTTATCACAAATTAAAAAACTTAAATATATATTTTATAGAAATTGAGTAAAATTATGAATATTTAATAATTAACAAACAAGATAAACAGAATAGCACAAGACAAATACTTGAATTATTAGACAATTTTTTATTATATACAGTGTTTCTTATTGAATGCACAGCACAAACTATTTTGTTGTGTACATAGTTTGATATACACAAGTATTGGGGAAAAAAATGACAATGTTGCTATAATACCCTTCATATTATGAATTATTTGTTTTGTACCTATGTTTGACATTTTAAAGTGTTTCGATAGTCGACATTAAGTTATAATACTATATACGAGTATGATAAATAATATTGTTCGCTTTATATAATAATAGTTACTCTATATGATTCTCACAAATTTAGGACTAATTGTAAATAATTAATAGTTGATTGAATTTCAAGTATGTAAGAGCAATTTTAATGGGAGTTGTTTATCCCATGAAGCAACTCAAGTCACGGTTTCTTGTTATTGGAGGACTCTGACGTGGCAACATGAGTTGCTTGAAGAAGAGAGAGAGTTGCTTCCTCAAGCAATCGTTTCTTACTAGATTTCAAACAATATTTGGGAACGTTTCGAAAATAATAATGATAAAAATTAATTTCGTATAATTTTTATGTATTTATTATTACTTTATTTTATTTTTAATATTTACTTATTATAAATTTTTTCTCGTAATTTATTTTCTTTCATTGTAGTGCAATTATTCTTTTTAATAAAAATTTAAATTTAATTCATAAATGATTAGAAAAAAAATTTTAAAAGTTGAATTTCTTAAAATTTTTTACTATTGGAATAAATTTTTGTTTGAGTTGCTTAATGCTGACATGGCATATTAAAAGTCACTTATTTTATTTTTTAATGTACCAAGCAACTCAAATGTTTCACTGGAGATGCCTAAGGAAACGTTTGGTGTCCGCTATTGTTTCTCTATTTTTATTTTGCGTTGGTTTTGGACTTTTGGGGTTCATTCACTGTATCAGTGTATGCGGCTGCATGCAACCGTTTGACATGTGATTTCAATGAAGACCACAAAATGAAGGCTTAATTAAAATAGTTTATCGAAAAGATAAAGAAATGGCAAAAGAAGACAACTTGAAATAGAACTCTTAAGAAACCACCCCCTGTTTCCAACTGGGTCGTATATCTATTTGACCATCATAAATTGTTTTTTAATGAGATGTATGCCTTAATCTAATTGCATATTTTGTTTCATCTTATTTTAAGAAAATGAATATTTATTAGTAATTTTAAAACAATTAAAATGTATTTTTTCAATTAAAATGAAGTGTCAAACATGCACTTTTTTTATATTAATGTGTCAAACATGCACTGAACCATAAACAAAATACTCATAAAATATCATAAACACGTTACTTAAATTAATTTGTAACAATGTATTCGATAAAGCCATATGCTACCCTACTCCAAGATGTTACTGTGTAAAAACAAAATGTTTACATGAAGGAGGATCAAGATTAGTAGTATTAATTATCACTTAACATTATTCGATAAAGAGAAGGAAAGTGATACACGGGTCAGGGCCCAAATTGAGAGAGCACATGGATTGGATGGATCTATAGTATAAACCTTACGAGATTGCCAAGAGTCACGTTTCTGTCTCTCGCCTCCACAGCTTAACCAAACTGTGCGGAACTACAAACTAACAACTAATAAACTATGTCTAGTTATTATGTTACTATATGACTATATTAAAGTGCAAGTAAAAGATGTGTATGATGTATCACAAACTGCTGAAACTAGCTCTTTGCCAACTTGACAACATATCTTCAATCATTACAGTGAGAGAAATGTGCACTACAAAAGGACTTTCTGCATTTTTTTTTTCTCTTTTAATCATGTTATCTTTGGTTTTAGACTTGTAGTTGTACCTACCCTGGAATCCATCTTCACATGATATGATGATACAAACTTGTTAAACAAATGTTTGGCGACTCAAAACTGTATTCATGAAGATAAAACTTGGATGCAAATACAAGCAATCTGGTCACTGAATTTACAAAAACTTGTTCCCTTCATTTCTTTTAACTTTCGTGGTTAAAATGCAACGTGTAGAAGAGCAAATTTCAATGTTTACTAGAACAATTATGGATCGAGCGTCAACCAAAAGAATGTATTGACATAATCAACATAAAAATAATGTGAAAAGGAATGGGGAGAAAAACTCAGGCTTGCAGATGTTGTAAGGCAACCCGCCTTAGGTTCTACCTTCTTTCATCCTGTGATGATTAGAAAATTCACTATTTCATCCTGTGATGATTAGTAACGTCACTATTATTAGAAACTAGATATGTAAATAACCAACATACGAAAGAGGATTTTTAAGATTTACAAAACATAGTAATATTAATAACCTTAATTTATTTTCAAAATTAAAAATGTTAAAAGAATTGTTAATAAGAAAAAAAAATGAAATTACCCCAGAAGAAAAGTATTAACTTGTATTAAGAAAAAAACTCCAAACAATACCTATAATAGTTATTATTGCTCAAAGGGATTTTTCAGAATTAGAATTGTTTAAATCTTATTTCATACCAATAATGCTCTAAAATAAATAAATGAATAGTCGTGTTATCTATTGACACTAATGTTAAAACTATTTAATTATAAAATTTGATAAATAACTTCACAACTCAACCAAAAAAAATACTATATGACAACTGATAATTTATGTTATCTCAAGTTTCTCCAGTAGTTTTCACCCAACTGGTGCTTCCATTAAATTCAGTTTTTCATGCACAGTATACAAGAACCGTCATGCTGTCCAATTTCTCCATCACATGGCTTTTCTAAATGATCAGATAAAAACACTGTAACTAAGCATTAAATATGGATCTTTCACTTCTTGTACACAAACGAGTTTATAAGATATCTTCTGAATATAAATCATCAATGAGTTGGCCACGAAGCTAGGCATTAATAAAGCCATGCCAATTCCATGCCATACTCATTTCTAAAACTATAGCACTCAGCTAAGTGAAGCTATTCATCTAGATCAGAGCGGCCATTAGCACATGCTACACAAAAATGACTTCAAACTTCGCACAAGGATTGCTTTCCAAGTGACTCCTTAAATCCTCATCCCCTTTGAAGCTGAAGGTATAAAGAGCTTGTCTCTGTGTCAAGCCAACTGGGTATATTTTGTAAAGTTTTAAATCATTGCCCCCTCTTAGAACTTCAGGTCTTTCTGACTTCCATATAGGTACATGATTCAGGGATGTGAACTTCGAAACAACAGCAGACTTCAAGGCCTCCAGTGTTAAATTGCTAGACCTGCCAATAGGCATTAAAATGATGAATTGTCATTAGGCTATTTCATGACATTTTTCTTGAAACAATGGATCAGCTAAAGGCGGAAGAGCCATAATAGATATAGAGGTTATTTGAGCTTCTAGATGAGAAAACTAGAAAGAAAGAATAAAATAAGTTTCTTCAATAGTTAAAATTGACTTATGCATAAATTAATTTGTAAAAATTTACTCCTATTAGTTTCTCCAAAATCTTACTTATGCATAAATCAATTTTAACTTGAGGGGAAACTTATTTCATTTTTTCTTCTTATTTTTCTAGAGATATTTATCCAAACTGATCCATCAGTCTTTTAAGTTGGTCTGACTCTGATAAGACACAATCAAAAGATATTCTCTGTTTTTTTTTTTTTTTGGCAGCTTTTATTCTGCTTATGATTGCCAAGTAACCAAGAGATGCCATCAAGTTTCTTGGGAAAGAATTATCATACCCGATGATGACTTACAATAGGATTAGAGCCTAAAGTCAAAGTTACTAATGAAAGTAAATAGTATACCTCAAGTAAATGGACTCCAATTCAAATCTTCCCCTTTCTCTCACATAAATATGATATACAGTTTCTGACCCTCTAGTGCATTTGCAAGGGCGTTTCTTAAAGTCTGGACTATTTTCTTCCTTCTCTCTACTCAATGTGGCCAAGTGAATGCAAAGGCGGCAGGATGAATGTACAGCTGCCATATCGACAAGAGCCTTGAAGGAATCAGATGGCCCCTCATACTTCCACCTACATTAATAAGACAATTCAGGATGCATCCTACAGATAATAAATAAAGAAAGAAAAAAAAACACAAAATCTATTCACATTTTAAAACCAGATATAGTCAAGAGGCCTCATTTAGAAACAGAAACCATCAATCTGCGCAGGTTTTATATAATTCAATTTTGGCGTTTAAGAGGCAATGTGAATAACTGAATGATATAGACTGCCGCTAGTAAATTATCTATCAGATGCAGAAAAGGGAAAGCAACTAAAGAAACTTCTACGTTTTAACCAATTAATTTACCTCAATGATTGATTATATGCTTCAGGATTTTCTGCTAGGTGTCTCATGGACCTCGCAACGGCCTCGACATCCTCTATCTCTTTAATATGTAAAACTGAACCAATAGCAGGAGCAAACTCCTGAATATTTGGAGCACCAACAACCACAGGGACAGTTCCTACAATAAAAAAAATTAAAAAAATTAAATAAAAAAAAAAAAAAAAGATTAACCTCCAGTAGCAGTATTATAAGTGGGTTCTGCTGATATTTTAAGTTTGAAAAATTGAATCCAGAACTCTAAAAATTTCCCATAATTTATATGGAAATGCATTTTTCCCTAAACCCTAAACCCTAAACATGTCCACTTCATTCACAGTACAATTTCTTGAATTTATTTCAACCTTGGTTCATCACTACAAAGCTCATTCACAAATGCAGAGTATATTGCCAATTAATTTGAAGCAATGAACTCAAGAGACTGAGAGTAGATCATATTCAAGTGGGTAAAATTCAAAGAAGCATTTTTTAAGAATTAAGATGATTAACTATAAATAAAGAACATCTACTCTATTTTGCAATAGAGTAATTATAAAAAGGATTTGTTTGTCAATAAATTTAAGAATTTCATTATTTGAACATCAAAAATTGACACCATATGTGACATTGTATACAATTATCACTATTAATCACTTAATTTATCTTTTTCATACACGTGTCTCAAAAACACATCATAAAATCAACGGAACAACTTTTTGTTGTCCAATTTTGTGTTTAAAAAGTATCTTCCTAAATTTAATTGTCAACAATTTATCATCATTAATATTGCTCAAGTTATCCAAAATTAAACATTTAATTCCAAATAAATTTTGGCAATTGCATTTCTACATTCTACAACAGAAAATCTCGGCAATTCTTGGAATTAGAGGTAAAAGAAAATCAGATGGGAATCATAGGATGCAAGAGTCACAATAAAGTGTTTCTGAAGCCCATGAACAACTAATGTTACCTTAAAAATGTTGTATATATAGTAAATGTGAGTAAGAGAATGGAGATAAATTTTTATCCATACCAGCAACAAGGGATTGGAAGAATTTTTCAGTTACATAATCTTCCTCGTTAGAATTTTCAAATGCTAAGCTAAATTTGTAGTGCTTCAAGGCTTCCACTTTGTTCACTGTGATAGAATAAAATAATATTCTTTAGTAAATAACAACAGTATCACATAATAATTGGAACTACTGAAGTCAGTGACATAAGCAGTGGAATAATTCCCAAAAAATAAAAATCAATTAATCATACATCAGTCAGAACATTTCTAGATTTTACACATCATCAATTATAAATGAGATTCATATTGTTGAGTTGTGAACACAGCATGTGTTTGTTTGTGTCCAATGCCATAATCAAGCTTCAAGGATAATTGTGTTTTACTTTCCTGTTAATGTGCAGCAAACTAAGCACCAATTCTTTCAAAATGCATTTCAAACTAATATATCCAAGAAAGTGATAGGACACTTCCAAGTTCCATACTCCTCCACCAATCTATCCTTTCTAAAAAAAATTCTTTCATTAAAAAAAATTACACTTCAGTGTCAAGACTGGAGTGAACAAAAGGAAAAAAGGAGAGAATGTAAACGGATATATTATTCAATGTTGATGCCTAACACAACTCCTTCATTCTGTTTTGGGATTTCTATATCATGGTGCCAGAGATATACTCAAACAAGTCAAATAATGAGATGCAGTTGACTGAAAGTCAGTGAAAAACAATACTTAAAACCACTTTATGATATGGGTTACCAAGATAAATCTACAATTTTAATTAAAAAACAATACTTAAAACCTCTAAGGTCCTATACTTGAGTGTTGTTCTTTTTAAAAAAACGTAAAAGAAAAAAGTGCTAAACAACAAAAAAGCCATATGTTTAGAGAAGGAAGTGAGTACAATAGGAGATTATAGAGATAGATAGTATTTTAGAACAAAGCAGTTGGTCAATTTGTGCTCAAACCATGCTATCAGGTCCAAAGAAAATTAGGAAAGTATTAGACAAATACAAAAATAATCCCTAGAAACTTGGAAGAATTTGTGGACACATCAGAACCTTGTTACAATCTTAATTGTCTAAAATATGCAATTTAATAACTTTCTTCCCTCTTATTCCAAACAAAATAAACAAGCAATAATAAATAAAGTACAATTGCTTATAGTAAATAAGTCATCATCTAGACGGTAGAAGGAATGTGATTTAAATTTGAGAAACAGTTAACAAGGTCCGCACAAAGGGGATACTTCAACTGCAATTCTGACAAATAAACACTAATAATATTAACAGGACAAAAGGTTACCAACAGATATTAAAGGTAAAATTTATAAAAAAAAATAAATTATAATGTACCATTTCCATCACGGTTCCTATGACAACCACCATAAGAGTCAATCTTGATGTTTAATTTTTCAAGGGCTTCAAGAGCTTGCAACCGGAAATTCCGAGCACCACAATTGGAAATGAATGCAGCCGCAAGAGCACTCTCAGTTTTTGGCTTCACTGGTGCCATAATGTCATACTCAGCCCAAGAAAAATATCCAACAGGAACATCAGATGATAGACTGGTCGTCATTACAATGCTATATCCCCTTCTAGTACACACAACATTGTAATATTAGTTTAATAATTGACCCTTGAAAAAAAATTTGGAATGGATCACTCTCTCCAATTGAACAGAGAACAAAAAGAAATAAGAATGTCAAAGAACAAAAGGAAACAGAGACTATCACTTGCAAGGAAAAGTAGACATAGATGCAAATTCTGTCAAAAGATGTCAAAACAAAGTTGCAAATGAAAAACTCCTATACCACATTAGCCTATAGACTTTTAGGTTGGCATACCTAGTATTTCAATCCCATGACATTAAACCAGAAAAAAAAAATTATTCTTTGCATTACTCGCACATTTTCATGGAGCTATAAAAATTAAAAAAAGAAAAACCGTAGCATCTGACAAAGCAAGGTACAGGTAACAAATGGTCCAATCTAATAAATTAACACTTCATAACATTGCTTACCCACCGTCTTGCCATGGCAATATTGTTTTCAGCATAGTATTGTGCTGATTCCATTGATCGCAGAACACTAGCTGTTTCACTTGGTTGAGGTAACCCAAATGCAGCATCAGGTTTCTTATCCCCACTAAACCCAAATTTACATCCCACCGAACAGGACTTCCACTCCTGCATTTGAAGGAACCAAAAATGTTTAGATGGACAAGAAGAACATCGGGGACTTCAGAAGAAAAACTATAAGGAGGTTACATATATGAATTACTTCTTGACCTATCACTCTATCAGCATCAAATCAAACACACCCACAAAGGGATATGGATCAAATAACAAGATAAGGTGTTATTAAAGAGAGAAAGACCAAATTTTACCCCACAAAGATCCACCACGGTCTTCAACAACTAACAGGAGGGGAAACAAATCCCCCATAAAGACAAAAATAACAAACAACAAAGTAATTCTTCAAAATCACCCACGACAACAAAGTGTCCTGGTTTATGTCCACGACCATGCTACAAAACCTACACCCACCACCACCACCATCACAACAACAAAAGCCTTTCCACATCAGGTGAAGTCGACTACATGGATCAAACTACACCATCTGGCTCACTTAAGAATCAATTTTTTCAATATTATTTACCACACAATCCCTCTTAACAACTTTCCCAGTGTCCTTCTCGGTCGCTCTCTCCCCTCTTCACATGACTAACAATAACAAATCTCCTCACCGGTGCTTCTAGTGGCCTTCTATGTACATACACATCCAAACACCTTAACCAATTTTGTCATCTTTCTCTAATTGATGCTACACCAACATTGAGCTTAACACCAGCATAGTGACAATCAACTAAAACTTTACTAAAAGATGCTTAAACTAACTAGAGGGTCCCAAAAAAATAAGATACCAATAAGAATTAAGGAAACCTGATCAGCTCCAGAAACAAAAACCGGTTCTTTGGCAAAGTCCCTCGAATACGCAACAGCATCTTCCCTCTCCAACCACTCCTCGCAGGTCCCCGATTGAGAATTCCGATCAGCACCCGACACAACGAAGTCCAAATCGTCACCTTCAAAGGGGACACGGGAGCGGTAGAAGAAGTCAGCGAGAGTGTCTACCATGGCTGCGTTCTTGGCCACATCCAACCGACCCAGAAACGCGATCTCCGCAATGACGACAAAGGCCACGACGAGAGGCATGAGATTGGTCCATCTCCTCTTGGGCCCCGCCGCCCCGCCCGAACCCACAACGGGTGGGCCCTCTTGGGCCGCCTCTGCTCTGGAGCCTCGCTGATTCGTCACGAGACCCATGAATCGATTGCGCCGATTCCTCCAATTGTTGGAAACTGCGAGGGGAAAGAGAAAGTGGATGGAATAGGTGGCGTTACGGCCACGATTCCATGATAAAAGGGTCGAAGCTTCTTGTTGTTGTTGTTGTTGCGGCTTCCTCTGAATAAGGGATAATAATAAAGTCGCCCAAGTGGCGTTGATTTTCCAATTCAAAGTCTACGGGGTGGTGCGTGTTGTGTTGAGCTCACTGGAATGGAACCAATGAGCAAACACGACTCGTAGCTAAAATTCAGTTTCCTTTACACAAACGGGTTCAGAAGAGAACAATCTTCATTTAACTCTGGGCTTCCCACCCGTGCCGTCTTATCGGGTCCATATCTGGTCCCTTTTTGTATTTTCTTGAAAAATTTTAAGGGGATGACTACCCATAAACCTTTTTTTTTTTAACACTTATTTTATTATTGTTCCACCATGAAAAATCATATCTAGAGGATCTTAATTGTTGTTGAAGTGAGAATATTTAAGAGTGTAACTTATATAAATTCTTATATTAACAAAAATCATATATATATTTTTTATAATCATCATGAGATTCTATTTCAAATATGTATATTAATTTTAGTTTATGATTCACGAAATTATAGTATTATTATCATTATTATTATTATTATTATTATTATTATTATTATTATTATTATTATTATTATTATTATTACATGTTATTTTGCATATCATGACACTTTAATTTGATGGGCCTTTGACAACAATCAACCATTGATTGAATTCTTTCTTGGGAAAGTTTTTTTCGATCATTACTTCTTAAGATTTGAGTGTAAATATTGAAAAACTAAGTGAAGAGAGGTTTCAATTGGTCAATCACCTAATATGACAAACACAATCTCTGGATCTTAAATGCTAAGGTGTGAGGAGGTTTTGGGATGAAAAGATTGGTTGTCTACATACCATAACATAACGAGCCCCATTAACCAAAAACCTACACTATAGCCAACCTTTTTAGATTACAATGCTATGACGTGAAGAGGCTAAGTATCTTAGGTCAAATGGTAAAATTATTATTGGTAAAAATTTATTAAAAATCACAATTCTTTTTGTGGGTTTCACAACTTATTTAATTGAATAAATCTACCATGATTTAGTGACAGAACCTATTAAAATTTGTAATTTTCAAGTAATAGTAAATAAAAATATTAATAAGAGAATGTCCCCCAACATTTTCTATTTTTTCTTACTTATTAATAAAAAAAATGAATGATTTTTATATTTTTTAAAATATTAAGTTTATTTACATTTTTATTCGATACTTACTTTATATTGTACACAAATTTTATTAGGACGTGAATAGATTGAGTCGAATTTATACTATTTTAGTACCAACCCAACTAAAGTGACATAACACTTGGATCAAGTCGGGTCATTAAATTAAGTAATTAAAAAGTAAATATATTTTTAAAAAATGAAACAAATAAGAAATAGAAAAAAAATACTTATTCAATTTTTAATAGATGAGTATTTACTCAAAAAAAAATTAATAGATGATTCAAAGTACAAATAATATTGTAACAATTATACATGAAAAATCACAAATACTTCAAATAAGTAAGTATTATATCACTAATGTAATAAAATTTGAAATATATATCAAGTAGAAGTAAATAATTCTACTTGATCTATGTCTTATTCAATTTAGCTAATCAAATCATTTCAACAATATTTGGTGAAAAAAGGTATAATTAAGTATATCTAGAGGAGTGTATTATGTGTTGCCTAATATTTTTTAATTTAATTTTATAATTTATTATAGGTCAATTTGGTTTGAATTTTACAAATAAAAAATCTCTTGACCCATTATTCAGCCAATTATAATCAAGTAATGTAAAAGTTATCTAACCTAACCTGCAAAAATATAATTTAGTTAGTTTTAGTATATCAAATTCACGTATGCCTAAAAATATAATTTAGTTAGTTTTAGTATATCAAATTCACGTATGCCTAAAAATTTATGTACAATTTCTTAGGTATTTTTAACTGTGTAAACAAATTGTTTTTATATTATATATAATAATTTTTATGAGAAAATTGTTTTAATCTTTTTACAAGAATTTGTCTATTACATTATTTATTTTCTTTAAAAATACCTCTAAATGAATATGCATTAATTAATTAGGTTAAAGAAATAAGGATTTGTTTTGTTTAAAACAAATTAAAAATAAATTTTTAATAGAATTTGTCACTTTTAAAGTGAAAAGATTTTATTTTAGAGAAGAAAGTGTAATAATAGCCATTAATTTAAAAAATTAATAACGAATGTTATAGTTAATTTTAAATTTTATAATACATGTATTTGATTTTATCATATCGTTGATTTTTTAATCAACGATTATTATTGTGTTTTATCTTTTAAAATGCATCCTTCACTTTAGAGAAGTCAAATTTTTTTAATATAATAAACACATTTTTTTACTTTTTTTAGGTAGTTGTTTAAACTTTTATTTTCAGGAAGTAACTCTTAGATATGAATATGCAATTGTATTATATACGTGGATGAGGTTCAAATTTAAACTCTTACAAATGCCAGGAAACTCAAACTGTGAAGAGATGCTCATTTATTGTATGTTTGTCAAATTTTGAGAGAGATTATCTCCATGTTTTATGACAAATACTCTTTAATAATGAACAAAATAAAATATATACTTAAATGAATAACTTTGACATTCATAATGATCTTATTATTTAACTATAACAACATTGTATTCATAATAAATATGTGTTATGTACAAAATAAATAATAATATATTCTATCAATATTAAATTAATTCGAATGAAATTGAATTCAAATTTTTTAAATAAAATCTTGTGTTTGAAATTTGTAAATAAAAAATAATATAATTAAAAAAAATCCTATAAAAAAAATGTTTAAGTAGATTTGCAAACAGAAATTAATAATAAATAAATAGATATTTTTTCATAAAAATTAACAGATACCTCACCATAATATATATATTATTCACTATTGATGAGATTGTCTATTTGTATTTGCTTTGATTTGAAGGAAGGCGCAATACAGAGAGACAATGATAACTAATAATTTATTTAATTATCGTTGCTATCAAGGTGGAGCTGAAAGATTCTTTTTTAATTTTTTGTTTCCCATTTGCTGATGAAAATTGAAATGTCATCTTGTGGATGGATTATTTCCCAGCAAAACTGAGGTGTGAATGGTTATTTCACCACAACTTGTTTTTCATTCTCTTTCAGCAATGTTAGGAGATGTGATTAGATAACGCGAATGTTGAGGAAGATGGAGAGTAAAAGCACACTGCGAACATGATACCAAACCTGTTAAGGTAGGTAGTGGAGCAGTTTAGTATGTTCCCCAAGTTATTGTTGCTATTTCACATGAAATAATTGAACCTTTAAAGTTATAGGGCAACTAACTCATCTGTCCAGATTTGGTATTGGCGACCTGGGAGCATTTTTTTTTTCTTTTTTACCATCATAAGTATTTTAATAGTTAAATTATACTTTTAGTATTTCTATTTTTAACAATTTATAATTTTGATTTTTTTATTTTAAAATAGAAATATTTAGTCTTTTATTTTTGAAACTATGAAATTTTAATTTTATGATCACTTTGATATTCGTTGATTGTTAAATTTTGATATTATTTAATGATTAGTTATCACTTAAGTAATGTAATATTTAGTAAAATAACATGTATGAAAAAAATTAAAAAATAACATGTAAATTTATTTTTTTGTTTGTATCTAAGTTAACAAATGATTAATATCACATCACTTAAGTATGAATAAATGTTAAAACTTGATGATTAATAGGTGTCAATTTGATGGAGGAACAAAATTTCATATTTTTAAAATTAGAAAGACTAAATATCTTTATTTTAAAATAGAAGGACTAAAAGGATAATTTAGCTTAATTAAATAAATTATAATATTGTAGGAAGTTAAAGAGTAAATATATATATATATAGAGAGAGAGAGGCTTAAATATATTTATAGTCCTTGAAATTTAAGGTCATTCTTTTTTTGGTACCCACAATTTGAAGTTGCTCTTTTTGATCCCTGAATTTCACTTATTCTACTTTTAGTCCTTAATCCTAAACGGTGTTGATAACATGTTTTTACTTTTAGTTTTGTAATTAGTTAGTATAGTTAGAATTTACATTTTTTTTTATTTTTAATTTAAAGTGTTATTTTTTAAAATGAAAAATCATTGTCGAGGTAACCAAAACCATGAGAGTGTGACTTTGTACAGTAAACCCTAGCCACCTTAGAGAGAAGGCAAGAGTTCGAGAGCTTTTTCCATGGCGTCTTCTTCTCATAGTTTCTGTAGATTTGATGTGTCAATCTCTTCTACAACAATAGATTCATTGTCATCAAGGAGGAGGTGGAAACTATGTTTGTGTGGGGAAAGAGCTTTGGTTTACACAGTCAATAGTGAAATAAACCGTGGAGGAAGGTTTTGGAAATGTTGTAACTAAAATGTGTGTTTTGTTTTCATAGTAATGTGATTCTCATTGCTTTTTTTTTTCTATTGAAGTTTGGATTTGCCACTATTTTATTTTAATTTTTATAGAACCCCAACTCGTGAAAGTTTTTAAAATGGGTAGATGAGGATTATGAAAAGGATGTAGAAGATGAGTCTATAGATGGAGCTGAACATTGGTTTGAAGAGGCAAGAAACAAAATTGTGAAGCTACAAAAGAAGCTTGCTTGTGAGAGAAGGAAAGGGTTTATTTTGGTTTGATTCATAAGATTGTCTTGGACAATGACATTGTTATTGTGTATTTTGTGTATCTTGAACAAAGTAAGATTGTGAGAAAGAGATTGCATTTCAATGTTATTTATATACCATCTAATCTTTATTTTGTAATGACAAATGATTATAGTCTTTATGTTGTTGTGTACTGTCCAATCTTTATTTTGTAATGACAAACAATTCTAGTCTTTATGTTGCTACGTACTATCCGATCTTTATTTTGCAATGACAAACAATTCTAATCTTTATGTTGTTTGTGTACTATTCAATCTTTATTTTGTAATGAGAAACAATTCTAGTGTTTATGTTGTTGTTTAGTTATTTATTTGATAATGTAAATAAGTGCTAATATTTAGTGATCAACTAGTTTTAGTCCCTTATAGCTTACTGTTTCCCCTGGAGGCAAAAAAAGTGGTGAAGAAAGTTTGAATATCATGTTAATAATGAGATATTCAATAACCATTACAAATGATATTTTTTATTGAGAAGAGATAATCAACATCTATTTCCCCTGGCCAAATTTTTCTTAGTTAATGGCACCATATTC